AAAAAAAAAAAAGGATGAGGGTATAGGGTTTAAGGGAGTCAAAATGGATTAGTCATACTACAGGGGGGCTGCTGAAGAGGGCTGGGCTAATAGATAAGGGGTACTCTAAGAGGGGAAGGGTGTCACTAGCAGCTCCATGGGACGACGGACACCCGGGTCTGAGTAGAGAAAAGCCCACAGCCCCAGGAAAACAACAAACACCAATCTTGGAGTGATAAGGTGTATCAATGGGACGCTGGACCTGGTTTCCAGCAGGCGCCGCTCCCCACCAAGAGATGGAGCAGCCCGACAGAGAAACCCTCAATCCTGACGGTTCTCTTACCACTGCCGGGATAGAGGGTTTGCACAAGGGCTATTCTTGTAAAGAAAAGAAAAGAAAAAAAAAAGAAAAAAAAAGAGTACATGGCCCCAGCCAACTTGAGAATCACGACAGAGCCTGTCCGAAAAAAATCGGACGCTTGGCGCCAGCCAAAACTAAAACAAAAGCTGCACTAGACCGCTGGTGTTTCGCCAAAGCTTGGCACGCAGTGGGAATCCGCCTCGTTCAAAAGATGTAGGCATTGTAGGGCCTTGCCGCACTATTTTTTTTTTTTTCGCCACAGGGAAACAGCACGGGAGGGGAGTCACAAAAATGAGTTATAATTGCACTATGGGCCAAGATACAGTTCTGAATTGCAGTTTGGGCGATGTATACAACCCAGCTTTCTGGCCAGGGAGGGTGCCCGAAGCGCAATTGCAAACTGCATGTGGCATACTGCGTAGCCACACGGGCCCTGCAGGGCCCGTCCCGGACATTCAGCCTAAGAGCCTAAAACTTAGGGCTTACAGGCCCCGTTCGTTTCAGCCTGAAAGCTGAAAAACGAGGGCCTGCAGGCCCTACCCCGTTTCAGCCTGAAAGCTGAAAAACGAGGGCCTGCAGGCCCTACCCCGTTTCAGCCTATTTCTGGGTCTTTTCAGACCCAGAGTTTTCAGCCTGAAACGGAGGGCCATTTTCAGGCCCTCATTGTTTCGACCTGCCCCTAAGACTCAGGCACGTAAACAGGGATGCGGAACAGGCCAGAAATAGCCTGTTCCTCACGAGTTCGAGCAGGAGCTGCAGCTGCAGCCCCTGCCTCCCCTCGGCAGGCTCAGGAGGCACACCCGTAGTACGTAGGAAGTTCCCATGCACTTCACGGTTAGGTAGTTCAGTAGGCACGAGGTAGTCTTCAGGATTCGGCCGCAGCACCAGAAGGAGCGCTGCAGTAGTCTCCAGCGCTAAGTAGTAGTAGGGCTAGCTGTAGTCTTCGGCGCTGGGCGCCATAGCTGTAGCTGTAGTCTTCAGCRCTGGGCGCTGGTAGGTGGTAGATCGTAGAGTGGGAGAGAGACTGGCRGAGGCCAGTGTTACTTACCTGTGGTGCCATCGCTCCAGCTCCATCTTCGTGGTACCTGCATCAAGGCGCCAACTTCACAGGTTAGTATTGGACACAGAGAGAGAGAGAGAGAGTTCTTCTTCTTCCTCTTCTAAGTCCACCTTCTCTTCTCACCCTCTCGCCACCTGACTTCTCAGACTAYGACAGAGAGAGACAGAGTTGTGACTTGAGACTTGACGACATTGGATCCAGACTGGACACTTGGGATTCAGACATTTCGACGAGGGACTATTTGGGCCTGTGCCGAAGACTTGGTGTTGACGACATTCCCATCTTCCCCCTCCTCTTCGTCTATCTCCTTCCTCTTCGTCTGTGTATGGTATGGGCTGGCGCTGTCTTCCTGTGTGAAGCGCCAGACCCATTCACACCATGTAACGATGATGATGATGTATGTTCAGGGCTGCATTACAATATTGATTGTTCGGATCACTGGTATCTAAGTCTTCCGCTGTGTTATCTTGTACTTTGTATTGAAAGGTCGGTTCTTCTTCTGGTCTGCATGTTACAGTATGCAATAGTTTGGTATCGGAGCGGACCTCTCATTCAGAGGACCCGCTCAATCAAGTAGCCAGCTTGCGATCTATTGATCACTCATTAGTAATGCAAGTAGGACTTAGTCAAATCTCTGAAAAAAAAAAAAAAAATTTTGCTCGCAACAACTATCTGAAAATTTCTGATATGTCCTTCGGGACATCCGTTAAAATTGGAACGAGACAGAGAATGAAGATTAGCATGGCCCCTGCGCTTTCAAGGATGACACGCATAAATCGAGAAATGGTCCAATTTTTTTCTTTACAAAAAAATAAAATAAAAAATTCTGATATTCGCATTTTCGTTCTATCTGAAAATTTCTGATATTAGTAGTTCGTTTTTACGTGACAAATATCTGAAAATTTCTGATAAATCGCATTTCGTTTTGTCTGAAAATTCCCGATAGTAGCATTTCGTTTCTCTGATATTTCGCATACATAGCTGAAATTTCTGAAGTTAGTATTTTCGTTCTCTAGGCATATTGGGATAACGATAGAAGTGGTCATATTCTCGGAAACTGAAATTACTCTTTTCTGAAAATCGCATTTCCATTCTATCTCGCAATTTTTTTTTTGAAAACCGATATCTTGCGAAGCCTACCAATATTGTGTTAGGCATATTCGGAGGTTGCTATATTCTCAGAAACTGGATTTCGTTCTTTTCTGAAAATCGCGTCTTTACTCCATTTCGCAAAATTTTTTCAAGATCGCAGTTTGTAAAAGCCGAAACTTTGCGGAATCTAGCCTAGATCTCGTTCATAATACCTTTCTGGCATATCCTACTCATCATAGATCGACAGATATATACAAAAAAAAAAAAAAAAAGGAAGTAGTCCTCTTTTATTTGTTTCTTTTAGTTTATCCGTTGATTAGGGCCGGAGGAAAGATTGTTGGGTTGGTTACCTACCTACGTTTTCCCTCCCACCCACCCCTTGCATGCATCCCGGTTCGGTACAGTGCCACGTCAGCAGCGCCATGTCACAGTGCCAGATCAGCAGTGCCACGTCACAGTGCCAGGTCACAGTGCCACGTCAGCAGTGCCAGATCAGCAGTGCCACGTCAGCAGTGCCAGATCACAGTGCCACGTTAGACTCAGTGCCACGTCAGCAGTGATGTCAGACTCAGTGCCACATCAGCAGTGACGTCAGACACAGTGCCACGTAAGCAGTGCCACATCAGCAGTGCCACGTCAGACACAGTGCCACGTAAGCAGTGCCACATCAGCAGTGCCACGTCAGACACAATGCCACGTAAGCAGTGCCACATCAGCAGTGCCATGTCAGACAGTGCCACGTCAGACAAAGTGCCACGTCAGCAGTGCCACGTCAACAACATGACGGGCCTGCCAGGCCAACTGCCCAACGAGTCCCTTGCAGCCTACAAGCAGCGGTTCCAGGCTCAGATAGAGGCTGAGGAACAACGCCAGCTGGCAGCCGAGGCTGCCCRCGTACAGGCTGAAGAGGCAGCAACAGCAGAGCAACTGCAGCTAAAGGCCGATGCAGACGCAGATGCCCAGGCTCGCCGCAAGGAAGCCCAGGATCTGCTGCAGCGGCATGAAGCCAACACCATCGACAAACTCAAGTTCAGGCATTTTGAACCGAACGGCGACGAGGCAACACCGGAAGAGAAGCACAAGGATTTCCTCTCCAAACTCGTGACAAGGTTGTTGTACGCGTGCAACTACCAACGGTCAGAGTTGGAGAGACAGTACCAGGACCTGACGCAACAGCATCAAGAGTTGGCACAGCTCCTCCGCATGGTGCAGAGCCACGAGGATGCAACTCGGGCACTCAATGCCCGATTGCTGGACCTGGAACAGGCTGTACCAGGACCAGCTGCTGGGGCTTCCAGCAGTGCACCCTTTAGCCGCCAACTGGAGGACCGCGTTGACCACGTAGTGGCAATGCTCGACGACATCAGCACTTTCGCTGCGCCGACCACCACCATCAGCAGTCAGCTGCTTACATTGAAGACCGAGGTCCAGACGCTGCACTCGACGAACGCGGACGACAATCCGAAGATGTACAAGATGCCAACTTTCAACCTGGAGAGGTTCGACGACTACACGCAGCAGGATCCGGTCCTCTGGTGGGAAGCATTCACAACGCAACTCAGGATTCTGCCCATAGCCAAGCATGCGTACATCGGCGCCCTATTCCTGAACTCAAAGGGCGGATGCGAGACCTGGTTGAGCCACCTGGCAACCTCCCACGACGTCGACGTACCAGACTTGAAGGACAAAATCACATGGGAGGAACTGACACGGCTGTGGAAGAAGCGGTTCATCGTCGACGACGCGCCAAAACTCGCCATCAACCGACTGTTCACCATGTCACAGGGCAACACAGGAACACGGGACTGGCTCACGGAGTGACAGAAGATTGCGGCAGTGCCCAATCTGAACTTACCATTCGAGCATCTACGCCGTGAGTTCTACAACAGGTCATGTGCTGCATTGAGCCAGACTCTTGGTGATCGTGAGCAGTACTCCACTTTCGCCGAGATTATCGACAAGGCGAGAGAGATCATCAAGACCAACAGGTCAGCTGCACACGAGAAATCAACATGGCAGCCAACCTATGTGGAGAAGGTACGAACTGGTCCGCGACAGAAACACTTCGCTGCAGTCCAGCAGGACAATGGAGATAACCCAGCGGCCACTCCAGCATCAAGTGACGGAGATCAGGTGGCTGCTGTCCAACCGTGAAAGCAACAACAAGTCCCGCAACAATGGGAAGGCGAAATCCGCATCGCAGGCCGGAAATGAACAGCCAGTACAAGTTTCATGGGTCAAGTTTGGCTTGACCGAGGCGGAGTACAAGGTCCGCGGCCGCTACGACAACTGCTACTGGTGCAACAGCACCAAGCACAAGACTTCCCTGTGCCAAGATCAGGGCAAGGAGGATGTGCGACCCTGCCTTAGCTCGGGAAACTGAGCTCCGCGGAAGGTGAGGCGACTCCACCTTCTACTCCCCCAGATTCGGCCGCCTTGCTAGCGGCCTCTTGCACATCTGGGAGGATGCGAATGTCGCAAGTCCTCGGTATACTTACGAGGATTATGCTGTCCACTTGGTTCCAGCGCTGGACCAACCGCTCCACGTGCAACAGTCCACCACATGCACGGTTTCATCACCATCGGCAACCGATTCGGCAGCTTCGCCGCAATCTATCGCTGGGGATTCGACGTCATGGTCAAGATTTGAAGAGCTCGACCCGTTGACGTTCACGGGCTTCTTGTGGATGCCCGTTCCCTCGACCGCACGATTGCCGAAACCGCATTGCAATGTGCTCATGGCACAACTGCGGGACTACTTGCACACTGCAGTACCAGCTCCGTTGATGGACGCCGGAGCAGAGGTTGTCGACCTTCACGTTTACATCGCGAAGATCGACCGCGAGTTCAAGACGCAACGGTACGACGACATCGACGCACCATTGCTATACGTACGCATTCAGATTGGAGAGGCGACCTGCAGTGCCTTGATCGATTGCGGAGCATCTCGCAACTACATCAGCCAGGACTTCATGGTGTACGCTGGCCTTGGCCCACGCGTCCGGAGGAAGCCCCAGCCTACGCCGGTGCTATACGTACACATTGGCGGATGGTCACATGCACAAGTCAATCGACCGGTGCATTGACAGCGTCCCAGTGTACTTTGCCCCTCACCCAAGTGAGGCGGTGTCCTTTGACATTCTGGACACCAAATTCGACATGATCTTGGGCATGTCATGGTTGCGAAGCAAGGATCACCCGGTGAACTTCTTCAACCACACCGTTCACGTTCGTGATCGGAATGGAGTATTAGTTTCATGCACAGTGCCTCTTCCTCATCCTTCGATCAGCTGCCACGTGGTGTCCGCCGCAAGCATGCGAGCTTCCATCATCAGAGACGATATCGAGGAGATGGGGGTGTGTTTTCTCCACGCCCTCTCGCCCCATGATGCTTCATCGACGAACTCACCTTCGGATCCACGCATCACCGAGCTTCTCGACGCCTACAGCGACGTGTTCGAAGGCCCGCACAAAGTAGTACCAGATCGACCCATCCGCCACGAGATCATCCTCGAGGACGGGGTCGTACCTCCGCGCGGTTGCATCTACCGAATGAGCGAAGAAGAGTTAAGTGTGCTTCGGGCACAACTCGATGACCTTCTAGAGAAAGGCAGGATTCGGCCTAGCTCATCGCCATATGGTGCTCCTGTTCTCTTCGTCCGGAAAAAGAACAAGGACCTGCGGTTGTGCATCGATTATCGCAAGCTCAACGCGCAGACGATCAGGAACGCCGGCCCTCTCCCACGCATCGACGACCTTCTCGAGCGATTGGGTGGCGCCCAGTACTTCTCTAAGCTGGATCTCAAGTCAGGGTACCACCAACTCGAGATTCGCAAGGAGGATCGCTACAAGACCGCGTTCAAGACACAGTATGGGCATTTCGAATGGCTGGTCATGCTGTTTGGCCTTACGAATGCCCCAGCCACTTTCCAAGCGGCTATGACAACGGAGTTCCGACACATGCTGGATCGGTTTGTACTCATCTACCTCGGCGACATCTTGGTGTATAGTCGGAGTTTGGACGAGCGTGTGATCACCTGCGCACCGTTTTGGAGCGGCTACGATAAGCCAAGTACAAAGCAAACCATGACAAGTGCGAGTTCGCACAGCAGGAGCTGGAGTACTTGGGACACTATGTGACGCCGCAAGGCATTCGTCCGCTTGCGGACAAGATCGAGGCCCTACGAGTATGGCCCGAGCCCACCAACACCACGGATGTTCGTTCATTCATGGGGTTGGCGGGCTACTATGAGCGATTCATCACCGGATACTCCAGGATTGCTGCACCTATGACGAGGTTACAGTCGCCAAAGGTGC